CGAGAAGATTCTACTTATTCACATTTCCTTCCGAGAACTCTACCCCAAATTAATATACAGAGGTATTTCCCTTCGGACACGCGGTATAAATTCTCGGCCGTTTGTTCTTCCCGGATTTTTCCCCCCGTAGAATCGTACGACGCTCGTCCGTTCAAATTTTCGGGTGCCAAGACATTTTTTACGGTTTCCGTAAATTACTGGAAATGTTTTGTACGTCGACGCACCGGTAACTTGCTTTTTTGTTTTAGGATTTTGCATTTAATCGAATTAATATGCACGCGATTGCGGATTGTTGCGTCGGTAGCACGAATGTAATTTATGTTTAACAAGGCAGGGGTTTAAGCAAGACAATTTAAATTGTAATTAAGCACGGGATTTTGTTTAAATAATATCGGCGCGGCCGCGACCGCGTTATTGGGAAAGACAGCAAGCTTTTCGTGATCCGATGAGCAAGTTGCTTTTTAATGAGATATCGTTCTGATCGTTTAAGGGTTTATGTACCAGATTGATTTTATACCGTGTCTGTTTCGTAAATCAGAATGTTCAGATCGACGTGTTATGGATCGACTCATTCTTCTTATTTCTAACCGAGCAGCTGAAATGGAATTAAGTAGAATTGGACGAGTATAGTCAGACATACTTTTTACCAGTACTCTGTTCACATTGAATTAGGACAAGACAGGGTGATAGATAGATGCTTTTATCCTTAGAATTGATGAAGTAGAATCAGATACCATTGGTCAGACACACCACTATCGTTCGAACTATTTGTACCACTGTCCTTCTTTCTATTCTGATCGACTAAGCTATCTCTTCTATACAGAATCAGCACTTCTGTTTTTCAACCAAGTATCTCCTCGCTAATGATTATTTTAAAGTTTTTGGGAAAGCATTGTTTACACATTTAATCTTTATGCCACAATCCCAATTCAATTATAATACTCCATTTGTTCTGCGCATTCATGCGCGTTCTTAATAATCCTGTATAAAATTACACAGTGTTCGGTTAAAAACAGAGCCTCCAATTAAGGTGCAGTAATTAGACTGCGGATTTTATGGATTTACGATCGAAATGACTACGCGAACGGTGTAAACACGTTAGAAAATTTTATGATCATCGTTATCTTCTCTCTTCAATTTACTAAAATTAATAACGAAAGAAATAGATCATTTTATAATCTCAGTTTCTGATAATCGAGCTGGAAAAAGCTTTGGTTTTCCATAAAAATCCGCGGTCTGGTTTACATTAACACCCCAACAAAAGCGATCTGAAAAATAATCAATTCCTAATCGATTCGAAGAAGCAGCTTTTTTTAGCTCGAACGAACATAACTTTGAACGTGCGTAAAAATCGTGTGAAAATATCGTTGGACGATTCGAAGGGCAGGTAATTTCGCGAGCGTCGATTAAAGGGTCCGGGTTATCGGCACGCGGTAACCCTGTTCCTTCGGTCCGTTCTCCTTTAAAGCATCGGATCGACCAGCCACCGGGGGAAAACGAGAACGAATGGAAGGCGGACCGATTGTTGACGTCGGCCATCGACGACCCCAATCAACCGATTAACGTTGCCACGTCGATGTCGGCGTTATCATCGTCGTCATCGTGATCGTAGTCGGCTGCACGTCATCGTCGCCGGGGATGCGCGTACGTGGTTGATCGCCGATGGGGTCGGCTGCGTCTTCATTGTGGTGGTCGCGTCCGTGAATACGCCCGCGGGCCGGTAACAACCGCGCGGGGGGGGGGGGGGGGGGGGGGGGGGGGCGCTCCATCGAAACAGTTCTGCACACATTCAGACAAGCATACAAAACCACTCGCTGACATCTATTCATAATATCTCTAGCGTACTGAAATTTCATACTATCACACCATACACTAGAACCATAACATCACACACGCTTCAAACAAACCTCTATAAATCACACGCATACCCTTCTTTCTCATTCCCCATTTTCGCCACATCACTCTACTCATTTGTCCAACCACTCCAGTTATTTTGTCTTTTAAACTTTTTAAATGTACTTTGAATTGCATTCTCTCACTCATCCAAATACCTAAATATTTCACACACTCAACTCTTTTCATACCTTTATCTTTCATACGTACATAACAACGAGTAAACGTTTTTAATAACGCTTCCGCACGATTCTAAATACTTAATCCATATGTAAAATCGTTCACTGAT